CATAAATTATTGATTTAACAACGTGATATGCTTATGATATCGTATTTATTATTTTAAGATTGTTTATTTAGTATGCTTCGTTCTATTTTATATTAGACTTCTGTCTAAAAATAAGTTGGTTGCCTATATTATTCCTATCTTTTGCGTTTTTATTCTTTTTTATTTAAATCTAAAGTCACCTCTCCAACCAGTTTAATTTAGTGTTTGTTTAAAAAAAAATCCGTTTGTTTGGATAATCATGGTAATTAACAACTGTCACTATTACACAATTACGAAAATAACTTTAGCTAGAAAGTGTACAGATATTAAATTTACATTTGCAGCAATAAATGGCACCGCACACTTGCTTCACGCTAATCCTGTAAATAAAGACTGCCGGATACGAAGATATGATCTCTTTACTCGTCTCAGTTCGCCCATTTCAAAGAACCAGATGGTTTTAATTTTTTTTTTCTAATAAAAATTAATACTCGCTTTTACTTTAGCCTTTTTTGGCATAAGTAGAAGTGTGGATGGACTACATTTTATAAATTGATATGCAAATGACTTAAAAGCAGCTTTTAAAGTATTTTATTTATGTGAAAAGTGATGGCTTTGATAAGAAAAGTATACTTTCTTAACAGGTGTCACGTTTGGTCCAAACATTTTATAAATGACCAAGCCATTAAGTAATCATTTATCAAAATCATTGAGCTGATAAAATTGCTTTTATTTCATTCTGGAGTTCGATGCTCTCTCTTTTTATAAAAATTACTAACTAAAGTTTACCGCCTTGTTTTTTAAAACTATCGAAGATATCTTAGATTTTAGTAAGCCTTTTGAACTTTTGAATCAGTAGATTGGCAAATTTAATATATGGATGTATTATTATGTAACATAATCTACTTGATTCAGTCGGGCTTGACTAAATATCGACGTGTTCAGGGAATCTTAAATAAGTACTCAAACATTTTTCTTATCTATCAAAGGCTTGCTACATACTGTATGGGTGTTCCCCAGGGACTCATCCTGTCACCAACGCTACTTAAACTAGGAAATAAAACACAAAAGTAACCTTTTGGTATTTTATTAAAAAAATTACATACAAACATTCATAATCTGTGATTGAATGTCACTATCATACAGTTCATACAACACACGACGTCGATCTAACTACGCACGCGCTATAGTTATTTGTCCATTTCGTAGCGATACACCTCTATCCTCTACTGTGTTAAGATTTTTGGTAACATCATTGGTATCATCTGAAGAACAAACTTTTGCTTTAAAATGAGAACAGGCTTTTGTCTATCTGAATTAGTTGTTGCAATACAGATAACAAACCTTTCATCATCATCATCGTCAGCCTGTATTCGTCCACTGCTGGACAAACCTTTACCTAATTGTAATCAACTCCAATATTTCTTGTGCATTATTGTCTATAATTGATTGCTTTGGTAGACAGATTGCATCCTTAAGCACATTATGTTAAGGATTTGAATAGTATTTTTATCTTAGAAAAATTTGGAAAAAAGGATTGTTAAATTGATGAAAACAGTTGTACTGAATGATAATACCAATGATGTTGTAAACAATACTGTTTATAGATTGTCCGCACAAATATAAGTAATGAAACAAAAGGAAATATCGTGAAAATTATGAGGAAAATTTACTTTCTTTGCGACCATATTATGTAAAAGTTTATTTTTTCTTAATCTCTTTACCTATGGTCTTAGTCTAAGGTATAAACTTTGATCTTTCTCAGAATCGTAGAAGTCCATTGTAAAGTATTAACGATTTTCGTTTTGCTACCCATCCATGTTACAACTTACACTCCCAAAATTCTTCGTATCTCTTTTCAGTTCTTTCAAATTGACTTGCAAGCACATCTCTCTTGTTAAACATCACATAATTTCTCATAATTATCACGGGTTCATAATCTAAGACACATTGGATACACCAGAAATAAATACTACGTCAGAATCTTATTTGTGCAGACAATTTTTACAAAATAATATAAATTCTCGAACAAGCGCGTCGAAATAAATTTATTATAACTATAAAAATACAGTAAACACGAATAAATCGAACACATTGAGAGGGTTTTCACATCGAAACCAAACATACAAGCTTCTCATACAAAAATATCTCATATTACCTAGACGTTTGAATCAACGCCTTATTGCTGTCTAATAACGATTAATTTTACAAATAATTGTGTATAAGTATCTATTATTAAAGAAATAAATAAAATTTTAAGGTGAGTTTTTGGCTTGTGTAAATACGTTTTTGTGTGCAAGAAACATGTGAATTGATTTATCAAAGATGGTTTTGGTATCGTCAAAGACCCCTCAATTATTAATATTAGGTCAGGCTCAAAAACCTAAAGTGTACGAAACGCTTTACGTATCAGCAAAGCGTTGTAGTCACAGTTTAAAATAGCTGGGTCTTTGATAACTGTCTAAACATAAGGATACCGGTATAATTATATTGGATAGACACCTTTACGGCATACAATAAACGCTCCTTTATGACACACAATAAATTAATTTAATTGGAAATTCACTTAGGAGTTCCGTCCATATTGGCACAATAAACAAGAAAATGGCACGACACTTAAAAAACTTCCTCCACAAAAAATGTTCTAACATCAAAAAAAAAAATGTAAATTGCGGTAAATATTAATTTATCTTATAAACGTCTAATAATTATTATTCTAATTTATATTCGTATAATACAATAATTTGGCTACGACATCTATAGCTACATTGCAAGACTATAAATTATTTCGAAAGATTTCCCGCCATGCGCCATCTTGTAGCTAGCTGTCAAACTGTCAAAACTTTGTTTGATTTGTCATAGATTAATACGCAGTGGCAGTGCACCAGCGTAAACACAGATAGGACAAACAATTAATTGCCTGACTGTGTATTTTACCTACCATTGAAATGGATCATTATTCTCTTTTGCTTTGACACGCTACCATCTCAAGGCTTTAATTTGAGATATCAATGTAACATACAGACGAAGAAATATTTAAAAATAACAGAAACTAGCTGCACCCAGCAAACTTCGTACCGCCTACATTTTTTTCTCACCTTTTATACCTTCCCTGGATTCCTACGAACATTCTAATATCAAAATTAGCCAAATGGATTCAGCAGTTCTCGAGTTTTAGCGAGACTAACGAATGAAAATACATTTTTATTTATAAGATGATTTTTGGTAGTTGTTACTGTCCATCATATAATTAATGGTATACGTACTTTTAAGAGTGATTTTAAACAGTGTCTGCTGTGTAGTTTTAGTTGAATCTTGCAATGTAGCGTTCGCGGGGCAAGGGACATTAAATCGCGTTTACCATGCCTAGGGTTACACACAACACAGGTATTAGGTAAATAACGTTAGGCAGTCTTTGGGTAGGTCGGAAGATTTTATAGCGACTAGATATTTTCTTTAAATAATTGTACTAAATACCACACACCTAACTATACCGACAATATACCAAAAACGTTGATTTCGAATAAAAGGGATTCTTTAATAAATGATGGTAATATTAAAAAGACCTCCACGTTATATTTCGTTCAGTTAGGGTATGTTTCTACCGACCACATTTACTAATACTAACATCAACTTACTTCTAAAGTATTTTATTTACGAATCCAATGAGTATATACTTTTTCAATTCGTAATTGGTGTTATCAGGGGACAAGCATCGAATATATTTATCCTATGTGTTAAATAATTTATCATTCTCAAGTAACTCTCATTTTGTGCGACATTCGGTATTCAGTGAACATGAAAAAGTTTTCAATAAAGCAGAATAAACGTGTACCCTGATCTGTGTAATCACATAAAACCTTCGAAAACTTCTGTCGTTCATTTACCAAAATTTAAAAAGGTTTTATCTCGAAATTTGAATTATTTTTAACATCATTAATAATACGTCAAAATGCATTTTATGTATAAGAAAACGTGGATATGAGAAAACAATCAACGTTACAGTTTATCAAAGATCAAGATAAGACAGTATCAAACATTTCATAAATAATATTTTACTTAAATAAATATCGCTCTGAGAGGTCGAGACTGTGCTAAACCTACATTGAACATCCTAGGCTTTATCAATAGGCCAAACTTCAAGAATTCGAAAATCTATAGAATTTCATGGCTACACACATCTTTTTCTATGACAACATGCAGTATCTCTATAGAGCACATCTATTTAATGCATACTTAGGAAATTGGATGCTTAATCAGTATTGTGGTATCGACTCACGACATGAAACATTATTTAGTATGTCGTTACTCGCCTGGCAATAGATATATATGCATTATTTTACAATAATATCATTGTACCTACTATGTCCGAGACGGCAGACGATGAGAGAAGTATCACTTCTGTCAAATAATATTTGATTAAGCATCGACAATTATTTTTGCTTTTCGACAAATTTTGAAAGAATCGTCAAAGACAATTGGAAATTCGGAAAGAATGAATAAATAAAATATTTTTTAATATTCATAAGATGTTTAGTGAATTTCATTCAATTTATGAACTTTTCGATTGGCACATACTTTTTTTGTGACCCGCACATTTTGTAAATATACATAAATATTAAGTTTAACACAAAATATATTTGGCATTTTAATATCTCGAAATAATGTTGAACATTTTATAAATTTAAATTATATACGTAATGCTTTATTTAATCGGACACTCTTTAAAAAAATAACGTGATGTAGTAAACTTTTTGGTTAGATAAATAATTTGTCTTAATCTAACCAAAAGAGTTTTGTGTCCTTTGGATTTATGATGGTCTAGGAAAAAACGCGGTATTTTACTCAAAGTAAGCTTTCGATTAACACGTTCTGTAATAAAGTCATGTAGTTAAAGTATGCTAAAGTTATGTATCATTCGGTACAAATACCAACTGCCACAATCGTAAAGAATGAAAGGCTTCTTTTTTCGAAAATGGCGCGTTTTTCCATAGATAAAGATGGTTTTCTTGTTGGAAGTTTTACATCATGAAGTCTCCACAGTCGACTCCGAAGTCCCAGTCATCGGAGGTGCCAGTATCATCATACTCTGCTAAGGCCTGCTCATAGACAGACGCCTCGTATGCCGTCACTCCATCCAGCATGGAACAGGCTTGGGAGACGTTGGTGTGATGCATGATCGGCATCGCGTGGAGAGCAAAGTCCTCGCCTTCTTGAGACCAGGTCAAGCCTGAAAATGGAGGGGCGTATTGTTAGTTTTTTGTCAGGTAAAATGAATAGTAGAATTTAAACCAAATCATTTAGTTCGATACATTTTTAGAGTTTGCTACACATAATTTTGTAAAAAAGTTATTTATACAATATTTTTTGTTTCTAGTACCTACGATGGATTAGGCAGTGTTATGGAATAATAATGTATCGTGTTCTTGTTTTGTTTAAAATTGTATAGGTACTTATAGACCAACTTATAATTAAAAAAAAATCAAATTGTCAGTTTGAAATAAGTATGAAATAAAATAATATCAATAGGTACTTACGTCCACTCCAAACTCCATTAGGCAAGGTAACCCATCCCCAGCCTTGTCCCCAAGCGAGCTGATGGTCGAGTTGTCCAGCTAGAGGCACCTGGCGCTTGATGACGGCCACCAGCCCACGCCCGTCCAGAGCTCCCACAGCACTGCGAGCGTTCCTCGTGTACATCTCTGATGATGTAGCTGCTGGAACCGACAAGGGTAGGATCTATAGGTTATGAATTGGTCAATGTGTTTTTATTTTAGTTAATTTATCCTTAGACTGCATGGTTGGCCGAGTGGTCGCAAGTGGTCTTGGGCAAGGGGTCTCGGATTCGATGCGGGCAAAGTATTACTAGTTTTTGTAGTAGCACGGAGTCTGGAATTGTGCCCGGTATATGACAATAGGCTCACCCCTTATTACATGGGATCATAACATAAATAGTGAAAAGTGGGTGTTACATTGTATATATAGTGGCATAATGTGCACCTCTGCCTACCCGTTCGAGGATGATAAAAGGCGTGATGTTATGTCTTGTTGTGTTATGTGTAATTTATCTTTTTTACATTAAAAGCATCTAAAATTTGGCAGTAAGCTCTCTTTTACCCGGAGCTGCGGACAACTGGTTAGCGGCACTCTGGCACAAAGCAGGAGAAGGAACGGGGTGGATTTTAGTTAGTAAGAGGAGTCTGACACTCCCTCTCGCCTCAACCAAGACTGGAAATGTTATTGGATGTTTTCCCCCTTAAAAAAGGCTTTCTCTTTTTTATTCTTTTGGTGGTAGGTACTGTTCTAGTTATCTATCACTAACGAACAATTCGATTCTCAAATCATTCCTGTTTACCTATCATCCATTTCAGTAATAAATTTTCAATTTTCATACAAGAGTGCGCCAACGTAAAGGAAGACGGATCATAAAATCAGGACTTGCAATCAACTTAAGCGCTACCAATTCTTGTGTCATAAATTTCCTCGTGAATCAGCAGGAATGGAACACGTAATCCTAGTCGCCATGAAAGCTGTAATCCTCCATTAGTGGCAATAACAATTTAATTGACATTTTAACTGGTTCATCACATTGTTTTACGAGATGAACACTTTATTGGCGATGAGAGACTCTCTATGTAATTAAAATTCGAATACATACGTACTAGAAGGTTTTTTGCTCAACTTTAACCAAAATATTAAGTCTTTAATATTAAGTAGCACGGAGTCTAGGAATTGTGCCCGGTATAAGGCAATAGACTCGCCCCCTGTTACATGGGACTCATAACATAAATAGTGAAAAGTGGGTGTTACATTGTACAGGGGTATAATGTGCACCTATGCCAATCCCTTTGGGCTCGCTGCCATTGCAGCGATAAGTCCCCTCTTTGAGGAGTGGCTTGAGAGACGTTACGGCGTCCTCACCTACCGCCTGACGCAGGTCCTCACCGGACATGGAAGAGCCATCAGACCACCACAGATGGGGCCCAATAGGGCTGTTGCCGATTCGGAGTCGCGGAGAACCTAGCGGGTAACCGGGGCTCTAGCTCGACGTGCAGGAGAAGGAACGGGGTGGTTTTTAGTCAGTAAGAGTCTGACCCTCCCTTCCGCCTCACCCAAGCGGGAGCAGTAATTCGATGATTTTCCCCCATTAAAAAAAAAAAAGTCAACCCCTTCGGGGATAAAAGGCGTGATGTTGTTATGTTTTTTGTTATTAAGTAATTCTCCATAAGGAATTACGACTCGACCTCATGTTACGTAAAATACTAAGTTTCAGGTAAATATTTCACCGCTTTTACCTCCTAATTTATCAACTATAATAGTAAACCTAACAAGATCTAAAACAGTACCAATGATTATTATTAGAACGCCAGGCAAAAACTATTAGCAATCGTTGTAATACATTACATTGCTATTCGCCTCGTAAAGGAACTGTCGAGTCAACAGTGGTGCCGATATTAATCGCGTAACACTTGACTTAATTAATGAAGTGGCTTGTTCGCTGTAGTTTTGGCGGGAACACTGACAGCGCGCGTGGCGGCCATGATGGATTGTCTATGGTATTGCGTGTTAAGTCTATGCTACCTACGCTTCAATGTACCGGCTGTTGAAACTAAGTTTTCTTGCAAATATACTCAGTGATACATACACGTTGATTTAGTTAGCAAATGAGACCAATAGAAACACAAAGTCCTACAGAACAATAAAAAATAATTTTGAAAATACTTGTTTAACAATTTGCCTCAATGTTGGGTCTATACCCCCATAGATAGACCCGAGCGTACGGCGCGTCGCGTTCCGCGCGCGCCTCAAAGAGCCATCAGACCACCACAGATGGGGCCCAATAGGGCCGATGCCGATTCGGAGTCGCGGAGAACCTAACGGGTAACCGGGGCTCCGGCTCGACGTGCAGGAGAAGGAACGGGGTGGTTTTTAGTCAGTAAGAGTCTGACACTCCCTTCCGCCTCACCCAGGCGGGAGCAGTCATTCGATGATTTTCCCCCCTTAAAAAAAAAAAAAAAAAAAAAAAAAAAAAAAAAAAAAAAATACCCCCATAGATATGGGAATATGGGACTTATACGAAAAGCGGGTCTTACAGTATACAATCGTGTTCATATCTATTATCAAAAGCCTGGATATAATTTGAAGCACTAATTTAATCGATTTATCCATGAACAAATAATTCCAAACTCCTAAGTACGAATAAATCGGCAGCAGCTGCTACTTAACCACGTTCTTGTACATAGCTCTCTCATTAATACAAGTGCTTTAAAGTATAGATAAAATAGAAGTGTCAACAGGTCATTAACCCTTTGACTTTGACACGTACGAGGCTCCAAGCTCCAACTAATGTTTTCAGTAGCCTAATGTTGAAAGATTTAAACTTAATGAGGCTGTTCACGTTTTAAAATGTGTCAGACATGCTTTTTAGATTTTTACTTTAAAGGCAATATTATAGTGTTAGTCTGTGTGTATAAATGAGTTTGAAGATAATATGAGGGAGGGTGTAAAAGTTAATTTTGTGAAAAACTTCACTGAAATGGTATCATGAGGACGAAAGAGCGAGTCAGAGAGTTTCGATCAAGATTTGTCATAGTCTCATCATCATCATAGCAGCCAAAGGACGACCACTGCTGAACATAGGCCTTCGCCAATGACTTCCAGATAGGCCGGTTGGAAACAACCTGCATTCAGCGGCTCCCTGTAACCTTAGTCAGGTCGTCTGTCCACCTTGCGGATGGACGTCCTACGCTGCGCTTGCCGGTACGTGGCCTCCACTCGAGAACCTTTCTGCCCCAGCGGCCGTCGGTTCTCCGCGCTATGTGCCCTGCCCACTGCCATTTCAACTTGCCATTTCGCTGGACTATGTTAGCGACCTTTGTTCGTTTTCGGAGCGTTGGCATAGTGGGCACCGTAGGAATCGTCAGTGGAAAAGGAAGCGTGGCTGTCGTCGTTAAACCTGGCGTCGCTCTATAATGGCAAAAGCGGCGAGCAGTAGAATGACGTGGAGCGAAGTGAAGTGAGAAGCATAAACCGATTGAGATGGAGAACTTCTGTGGTCGCCCTCTGCCTTATTTAGGGAGCCTTAAGTCAAATAAGTAAAACCCAGTAAGAAGACAGAAGTAAATCACGGATAGCTATGCTTAAAGACTTTAGAGAGAGTCACTATGGCAGACATCTATACATATAATAAAATCTACATATATCTATACATAGCTCTATAATAAAATCGTAGAAAAGTCAAAATTGTACAATGAATATTTTTTTGGATTTTTATCTATTTGTCTGTATGTATGCCTGAGATGATCTTAAAAAGTACTGCATGGATTTACTTCAAATTTTCATAATTATTACTAACAGCTCGGGTCAACATATAGGCTACATATTATCACGCTATCATCTACGGGGGAGGAGCCCTATACTAGGTATGTACATAATCAATTCTGACGATATTCGTTACCGTAGAATATCCTTTAATAAAGACTAATTCAAAAGCATAAATTCTGCCCGAAGTCATTATTCTACGCGGAAAATGTCGCAGGCAACAACTATTCAGTAATAAAGATATTATGAAGAAGGAAAGTACAGTAATAAAGACTCACATGCAAAGTATAACCTATTGAAGTAGAAGAATAGAAAATGCAATGTGATGTCATTTTATTTAAATACAGATATTAAAACACATGTTGTTTACATTTTTATTGTATATTTTATGTACTGCATAACACAGAATATAATATACATGGGAATCAACATAGAATGATACATTTTTATGCTAGGGAGCGATAGTTTTTAGATAAACGCATTTAAAAACTATCTTATATTGGTCTTTTATGGAATCGACACCTTTACTTAGTTAAATTGTGGGACATTTTAACAACTAAGGGTATTCACTGAGTAATCGAAACTTAAAATACTGATATAAAGTTGAGAACCCGAAACCTCTTACTTTTTCCGACTCATAAATTGAATCCAATCACTGACTCGTGAAGCAAAAAAAATTCTCAAAAGGTTTATTTAGTTTAATTTATGTTCTTCGGCTAACTCACGTAATTATTTGATGAGGAACTCGACTAGTACGCAGCGCGACAGTCGCCACGTCACGGGTCGCGGATTGCTGCTCATGAATATGAGCCTCTATCATGGCTTGAATGAAACTAGTCAAGTTCCTTATCAAATAATTACGTAAGTAAGCCGAAAAACATAATAATTATGTCTCATGAAGGTTCATCTTCTATATAAGTCTGGTTTTCCTTTCTGACGCTATAACTCCAGAACGCACGAACCGATTTCCACGGTTTTGTATTCGTTGGAAAGGTCTCGGGCTCCGTGAGGTTTATAGCAAAGCAAATTCAGGAAAAAGAGTTTTCTTCATCTTTTAATCACCAAACGAAATGAATTACATAAAACGAAGCCCTCTGGTGGCGAAACGGAGTTCGCCGGGGTTTGCTAGTTTCGTATAAACAAAACTGAATTTTATTTTCAAAGACAAGCAACGACACGACACCGATGACCTTTGGCCATTAAAAAATACTTTCGACTCAGTTTTTTAAATAAAAACAAAAAATACTTACGCGGGTGTTAAATTCGACCCTCAGGGCTCGAAGGCTCGTGTTAGCAAAGTTGTAATGCGTTATCCTTGTCGCCTGTGGCTAAACAATGCCTCAGTACGTACATGTACAGGGAAAATGCGATATTTAAGCCGAACAAAAGTCAC